GTGAGTGTTTCATAGTGTGAATTGACATTCTGTATTTCGTTTGTCTTTTTGGTTCATCTGCTATTCAATTGTCTTTATTATACTGGGTACAATCTCGATCTTGATTGTGTCATACTTTCGGTGATATGAGTAAGCCTACATGTATATGCTTATCTACATTTAACAAAATTCTATATCAGAAACAATGGTACCGCTTAACCCATTACTTCATGAGCATTTTTTGTGAAAAAATGGCCGTTCTTCATTGAAAAAAGTCTCCCGTTACAAGTTCAAATTGCTATAATATTATAAAAACTGCTTCAACACTAATCAAACTTGGCACAAACGTTGACTGGACCATTGCCCTTGCAACAACATGCTCAGGCCTTTCAAATTTTCTGTTACCATGGCAACGAGGGACATCTCAAAATTGCCAAAAATCACTATTTTGCGTTGATTTTTTCCATCAAAATTGATTTCAAAGTGCTGCAACTTCTCAAGGATTGAGATAGAGTCAAATGCTTTTCAGCGTTTGGTTACACGTTACCTTATGATCAATCTGGGGTCATTTACAGCCTCTCACAAGTCCAAAAATTTTCTTGGCGATGAGGGGGCCACTCCACCCCCCCTCCAACCCCCCCCCGAAACAGAAGGGGGCACATCCCCTTCTGGGCAACCCCCTGATGTATCTATTGGTTGGGGGCCGCGCGCCGAAAAACAGAGGTCACTTTTTTTTAACAACATTTCTCAAACAAAAACAAGTGTTTGGGGCCTAAATAAGGCATTTTTTTCATCATTTGAGACTAACAAAAAAGGGGGGGGGTGAAAAGCGTTAAAAAGGCGTGTATATGAAGTAATGGGTTAAAAGAAAACCATCTTTTAGTATTATAATCAATCCATATATATGTGCACCTCCAAGATTTTGATCTATATCTAAATTAGTCCATTTTCCTACCATAGACAGACTATCTTGATACGACGCTGACTAAAATTGGAAAACTAACGGGCATTCATTTAAAAAATACTTTAATATGTTTTTTTTTTTTTTTTTTCATTACGTTACAGTGCTGTTATATATTGCCCTAACCATATATTACTAATTGAAACCAAAGTTTTGTTTGAAGATTTAGTTATATACATTAAACAGTACTCAAATCTCTTTCAAATAGATACGTTACAATGATAAACAGATACGTTACCAGAAGTTATACAGTCCTCTACATTTATTTTTAATACAAATTTTGCAAAACCAAAAAGATATCAACATATATTTATTCCAGGAAAAAAAACAGTAAATCTTTATATGTTGCTTTCCTGTTTTTCAAACATTTTATGTTCTAGAAAACTGAACTAAATCCTTGAATTTCAAATTCCTGATTCACATTTTCAGTTTTCCAATAAAATCGAGATCAATGCATCATTTATCGGCTTACACGCTACGTTGATGCTGTTATTTTTAACATTGAAACCATTCAAACAAAACTCGAGCAAAAATCGGCGGACCAATTAGTAGTTCAAACCCAATAAATAACTTGGATTAACGTATCTGTTGGTAACGTATCTGCTTGAGTCAAAAATAGCTACCTTCCCTAAAATATAATCAGACTATATACATTGTACACATTATGTTGCCAAATAGATCAAAATATTTAATGTTTTATTATAAAGCATATTATTTGAATAATGGCATAAAGCGAGCCTACTTTAAGTGCTAACGGTAATAGTTAAATTTCTCAGTGGGACTATCATAAAGGTTAAATCGACTGTATCTGTTCCCAACTTGCGTAAAGTATTATTATCCAAATTGCTTTCATCATTGCAAAGTCGAGTTATTTTGTTCGTTTTCTAGTGATAAGCGGTATATTGTAGTCAAAATTATTTGTTGAATTTCCATGAATAATATGTTCAATAGCAAACTATTAATATGTTACAAGTTCATATTACTCTCTTACTCAGGTTTACCTTAAGCGTGGTAACGTATCTGTTCAATATATGAGGGACATGCATTTAAGCTGGTAACTTTTTTCCAAATTTCACTGTAGAAAACAATAAAAATCGTTCACTTAGCAGGACTCGGCCTCCGTAACTAAGCTATTTTGATATGTTACTCCTTAAATAGGGGGTTCGGGGGCATGCTCCCCGAGAAATTTTTTTTTTGGATAAGAGGAAGTGATATCCTGGTATTTCGTGACTATCTAGAGGCTTATTGACAACATATCTGGTGATGATTTAAAAACTCTTTTTCTTATTAAATTTAAAATATGTAAAAAGTACGTTATTATATATACCATAAAACTTTCCTAATATTTATAATTGATTTTTTTTGCAGCACAAATTTGTTATTTTGCGACTTTCAAACCGATGTTATAGCAACAACATCTCCCGTGTTCAGTATTTTAAACTAAAAAAAAAAGCAACAAACAAACAAACCAACAAACAAAATCAAAGCACAGAAGGCGCTGAATTTGGGTCTTCAGAATGTCAGAAAGGTGAAGGTTGTGAGATTATAAACCAATTTGTTTTTGTATAGTGCCACAAATGCTTTCTAGTGTTTTTCTAACTGTAGTAAATTGGCTATAAGACAAATTGCAACACTGATAGTCAATTCAATGTTTATTTGACTTAAATTTTTTTTTTAGAAAAATTGAGTTGCCTCAACTGGGATTTTGAACTCGAGACCTCACGATTCATAAGCGAGCGTGCAATCCCCTCGGCCACGGTGAAATTTTAAGTTAACGACCTGAAGAAAACCATATTATTCTAAATTAGGGTTTGTAACTCTTATTATTTCGACGCTAAACACAGATGTAAATAATCATGGAGCTTACTGTAAGCATGTATATCTATAAAGAATGAAACCATATTAGAAATCTTCGACCATTCGGGAACTACTTTGCTTGAAAATTAATGCGCGTGTTATTTGACAATCTTTACGCATTGATCTCCCCTGATTTTTTTCGGCGTTAGTGTACATATAAAGGGAAGTAACCGCTTCAAAAAAGTGGACTACTTTCGGCATTTGCAATTAACAGCATTTGGCTCTGAAATTTCGCTACCATTATTTGTTTGGTCTGACGACCCAAACAAATTTAAATAAGCGCGGTGACAAAATTTATATTCAATATTTGAAAAATACATGCTTGTGACATTTGCGAAGCAAAATATTAAAGGGACTCCACTGAGTTTTTTGACATGTCGGGACTTGGAACATTTTCCCAAGATTGATGTACAATTTGATGAAGGTCTCAGCTTATAATCTGTGTGCAAATTTTCAGTTCATTTCCTCATTCCGTTTTTCAAGAATAATCATTTTTATTGCGCAAAATGATCAGAAAATGAAAAGCGTTCCACTCAAATTAAGCTAAGAATAGCACAGAAAATCGATTTTCAATTCAATTCTTAGTATATTTCTTTGTTATCCTTTGCAGAGTTTACATTTTAAGTGTTCCACTTGATATTTTTAAGATTTTCAAACTTTATGTTATTAGACTTTATGACATCAGTGGAGTTCCTTTAAAGAACAAGTTTTATATAGTTTTAAAATTCCTATACATTTGTAAATAACACCTCTCTTGCAAGGAAAAAGAATGAAGCAGATTTTTATATGCGTTCATAACGTCGGTAAATGATACCAAATTTGCTGATGTTCAAAGTTTATTTCAGAACTCAATGACAATATGAGCTATACATAATTGCGATCTTACTTTTTTTGTCTTAGTACATTGAATATTGAAGCAGATTTTATATGGTTTTCAACATACCTTATGATCTTGCCAAATTTTTACTATATTGAAAAATAACTTTTGTATCACGAGCTTCAAAATAGCTGTAGGCCTAATATCATGTAGATTTTTTTCTAAAAGGTTAACCTCAAATAAGAAAGAATAACTTTTACAAGAACATATTTGTTTACGACACTTGCATCACATATATTCTTTATTTTTACTGTAATTCTTTAGCATAAAAAGTAAACTGCTGTAGAACTTTATACATATTAATGGCAAAGAACTGAACTGTATGCACGGTTTTATATAACCTGACAAAAGTCTATATTATGATTTATAAATATGATATATACTTGGTTTCTTTGATGGAATTAAAATGTAGTTCATCAGTTTGAAAAAGTCATGTGATCAATTATATAAACCTAAAACGTCACGTCAAATTAATGTCATTTACTAGATTCATGCATGGTACTAACTATAACTCCCTCCGCGAGTTCGAATTCTTAAATACCAACGGTCCTCTTTTTGGTCAATAAGGAATTTCCGACAATTTTAGATATGAATATAAAGGTTTTAGATGAGGAGCAAAAATGACATAAGATAAGAAAAATGAACAAAGTCTAAATAACTTGTTGAAGGAGTGAAATGAAGGAAATCGGCTAATCATACATTGTACTTCGAGCATAGGTCACTGAGAAGAGTTTGGTCGTTGTTAGTGTTAAGTGTTAAGTGGCTGATGAAAACTAAATGGAACAAACACTGATTCAGGTTCCAACATCTAGACTTGTTATTTAGCACAATTTAAACAACATCCTCAACGATTTATAGGAATCATCAATTTTATGCCCGTCTGAATTTCTCTAAGATGAGTTTTATATAAAAAAAAATTTCATTGGTACAAATTTTATTGAAAGAAAACTGAATGGTGATAGACAGTTTTAATAGGTATAGTAATATTAGCTCTACCTGAACATTTTTATAACTTTATCAAACTTGAAACAAAATACTAGATCTATATGTAAATACAAATTCAACTGGATGCTGTGGTTGTCAACAGTAGATTTTTTTTATTAATGAAAGATAAAAACTTTTTCAAAACCTATTCAAATTTTTTAAAATTTTAGGCAATAACAAGAAAGCTTGAATAAAATAATTAATGTCGGTGGAAAAATATAATTAATTAAGTAATAATTATCATGTATGCATAATGTTCGTTTCAGATGTATGTATTACCTCCCTTACTTTTATCTACACCATTTGTTTGCCAATTTACTTTTTTCCAGCTAGTTACCTCCCTTATTTTCTGTAACACCATTTAACTGTAAACAAACATGGTCCTAAGTAAACAGGTAAAACCCAACAAATTGTGCGCTTTAGGGCTTTTTATTATAGAGACGACGGTCGACGCCTGTGTAGCCTAATTAATTCGGCGTGAACGGTTCGACTCTTTTACAAACTTTTTTGTTCATACTGTCATACCGTCCAAAATTATCTCGAATACTCGATGTCTTTTTGACAAGTCTATAATTAGTTGGACTAACATCAGTGTAATATCAGTTTGTAAAGTCAGTCGGTCTTGCAGTCGAAATAATGAGATTAAAGTAAAAGCAGATTACATTTCCCAACATCAACAAATATTCCCGTTATTAATTTTTTTAAAAACATTTTTTTAACACAATTAATGGTTGATAAATGAAGATATAATTGTCAATAAAACGATAGATTCTTAAACAGGATTGGTCAGAAATATCATTGAAAGATCTGACATATGTTGACGGCTAAAAAAGCTTAAACTGTCAAGTCTAACTAATCGTAGATTAAGAGGGGACATTTTTCAGACTCATAGGTGTTGGGCGCATTGATTGGTCACACCCCCCCTCCTTACCCACTCTACATTCCGTCTATGTCTCCCAAACCATTTAAACTGCAGTATTTTTCATTTGAAATTTGTTTTAATATTTAATGTATGCTTTTAATTCAATTTCCCTCATTCACCACAAAAAAATTATACATAATTAAATTATCTGGATGAACTAAGTACTTCATTGAGATAGAATTGCATTGGCTTGTTATAGTTATGTGGCCAAGAAGTAAAAGTACCACAAAAACAACTGACTATTCCGGGATTTTTTTTGGCTTATTTTGTAGCCAATTGGTCGTATTCCCAATTGAAAATAGTATATTATTTTCCCGATCTACAGGGAAAAATTCCCAATTGAAAGTAAAAAAATAATTAAAATTGAATAACAAATTCTGAAATCATTGAAATTAAGGGCTGTTATGGTTCTTAAATGTTTGAAGATGGCATCCTAGCCAGTGATTCTTTGTATTCATTTAATCACTGCAAAATTTAAATAATGCATATATTCCCATATTTTAACAAAACATTGCTGAAATTCACAATCCCATGGGTATGGGTCATGCTGCTAAAATCCTGGAAAAAAACGCTGCTATTACTAGTTTTGGCATCCATAAACTTATGTTGCTTTTATTTTGACATTGTGCAACAGTAAACAGATCTAGCAATACTATAAAACCTGTTCGCTGAAGTCTCTTAGCTACCTATTACAGGTAATATAGTTTAAACCTTTTTTGGAGTCTTTGAAGATAACATTGTAATTAAACTTATTAATCTTTAGTCACCTGTGAGTTACATGTCACAGGGTGAGAAAAATCTGCAGCTTTTAAGGTAATAATACCTGGACAGGAACATGGGACCCTCAAATACTGTACCATGGCTCTATCTACTAAGGTATCAGGCTGCTTGTAAACACATATGTACGCTCCCCTTATAAATGAACAGTTCTAGACAGTGTTGTTTTCCCATACTTTTATATTGAATTTTATCCTTGTTTTTCTAATTGGTACAGAGAAGAAAAAGGAGAATTGACCTTGAGCTATTAACCATCACAGCCCCATATTGGGCACCAAATGTCAGTCACATGGTGTGAAAAATGTGCAATCTGAATGGGACTCTAACCATTGACCCTAGGAAAACCACACTGTGGCTCTACAGACTCAGCTGTCTGACCAGTTGTACATTCTTTCCCCTTATAAATAAATAGAGGATATTGAATGAGTGTAAGATTAATACTGAATTTATTAAACAAGTCGAATAAAATTCTATTATGCAAGGCTCTGACGAGCATAAATATTATTTTATTTAACAAGCTCAATAAATTCAGTAATGAACTTACACAAATATAATATTCTATTCATCACAAACCCCAAAATAATAACTGTTTAAGTGAAAAAGTAACAGTTTTCATTGATGCGCCAGCAGTAAAACGCTAACATTTAGCGTATCTTCATGCTATGTTTGCATAACACAAATGGTGTCCCATCAAAATATATGCACAACCATGCAATACCATTTTTACAGAGTCCCAAAAGCGGCACAGGTCTGTAATTATGTAATAAACAGCTTGAGACTGATACCATGCAGGGGAAGGGACTGAATAGTTTCTAATTTACCACAAGTATATGTATCACAAGGTATAATTATATTTACTGTAATGCTTATAGATCAAAATAATGCAATACTGAAATAGATTGTCTGAGACAACATCCTCAATTTCAATAACTTGAATGCACTTATCTATAGGTTGACTGTCCTGAATAAATTGATGACCTAGACATACAAGTTAATGTAGTGTTAAATATGGTAAACAGGTTCATTTTCTAGTATGTATAACTAATTTTTTTTATATAAACTAAAATTAAATTTATCTGCATATCATTGATAAATCTACCAAGGGTTGATACAAAAGTAAAGCTAACATTAAAATTGTGCCACTTTAAAAATTAATGAAAATTAATGAAAGGGAGCACTTGGAGAAATATATCGGTGATTTTTTAATTTTTTCAATTTTCTAAACAACCTGTGGCTTTCTGAAGGGGAAAATATAGCATGATAAATCAGAAAACGGGGGAAAACCTGAAATCAAATTTCAACAACTGATAATTTTAAAATTTTCAATTTTAATTCAATTTAACATGCATGGTATATAGCAGAGGTTATTGTATAACTTATAGGATCAATTTTCTGTCTTTCAGTCAATTAAATTTATCACCCAGCTGATTTAAGTCAACTGCTGTTAAGTCATGGTTCTAGAAAGACTGCAAAGGGCATTTCAGGAGAAAATGTACCATTTTTGGGGGAAAATACACCTATTTTTGGGCTTGACGACATAGCCTTTATTCAGCTGTAAAATGTAGGGGAAAAAATACTTTTATAATATTCAGTATTAAACTAAGTTTGTATACTGTTATTGCTGTACAGATGTCCCCTTGATATAATGAAAATAAATCAGTTGCAGTAAATTACTGGATAATACATGAAACACTCTCTAATATCATCTCTTGCCCCAATATATTTGAGCCGCGTCACGACAAAACCAACATAGTGCGATTGCGATTGCATCCGCGCAGTCTGATCAGGATCCATGCTGTTCGCTATCAGTTTCTCTACTTGTAATAGGGTTGGTAAGCGAACAGCATGGATCCTGATCAGACTGCGCAGATGCGCAGGCTGGTCTGGATCAATGTTGGTCTCAAACCCATTATGTTGGTTTTGTCATGGCTTGGCTCATTTAGGCTGAATGTGCAGTAATGTGTTGTAAAAGTAGCGAAATGTAAACAAAGTAGTATTTTGACTTACATACAAAATACAAATTAAATACAAATGTAAGTATACAAATTGCCAACAAAGCAAAAGAAGCAAAGATAGTTCATCTATACATCTATATGGCAAATGAGTATTTTTTGGAAACTGTCACAAAATAACAAAAAATTAGAGTTTTTGTGAAATGAAAATGATAGCATTTTTCTTTACAGTTGGAAGTTTGAACTGACCATCAATATTTGAGTATGTGCAGATAACCTATTGGCCATCAAGATACCCACATTATATGGTAGTGACGTTAAAATTTTAATATGCATTGAGTTTATTTTTTAGTACACCATTCAGTACTTTATTTTTATAGCTTTATATATTTATGTACTTAGCTGGATGTAGAAAATATCTTATCTTAGATATGGAATAACTTGAGTGAGTCAACATCTTCTATCTTTAATACTTGAATAATTACTATCCACCGGTAATCATTTATAGGAAGAAAAACTATCTTTATGGATGGATTTATTAACTTATCATAACAAAAAAAAGAGAGAAAAACAACAAGAAATATATGCATTTAGTGCCATATAAGATTCATTTTTGGTAAGTGCTTTGGTGACTGTACTAACAATTATTGATGTGCAATGACTCTTTCAATATTTGTTGACAACGAAGATCCTCTTGTGGACGAAGAGATAAGAATTATAGTGAAAGGTTTACAGAAGAAACAATTAGTGACAGTGAGGGCAGAGGTCAATGAGAAAGGTCAAGTGTTTGCAGGAAGTGGATGTTTTGTAGCAGACGACAATGGTTTAGTTGATGTATCTAGGCAGCCGTCCACAAATGGAACTTACAAAGGTAATACTTGGAGAGTCAATGGACTGTAATGGTTATCTTACTTCCTGTTAGATTTTATAAGATTTATTTACTAGTAAAAGCATAATTATATGTGCCAATCAAAGAAAATGTATGTATATAAATGCCTTGAACCTCTAATATGAGTGAAAAATATTTTCAACATTGAGTAGATTCAGTTTATTTTTTGACAGAAATTTACCAATCTATATCTTATGCTGGTTGACAATTTCCTATTTTTGTAAATTAGTATTTTAACCATGTTTGATGTAATGAGATGGTAAATTAATATTAAAATGCATCTACCAACATTATATTTCCTCAGTTGCTGTTAAGGAAAGCAGCAGTGTCGGACTAGAAATCTAATGATCGCTAGCCGCATGGGTTCAAACCCTGTCAGGGGCAAATCGTTGTTTCCTTGAGCAAAAAACTTAACACTCATTGCTTAGTGCTGGTTGGTTCTAGGAACGGATTCAAAAGTGTGTTGATAAGCTTATAAGTTCTTACACAATCAAATAAAAATAAATTCTGTAACCAAGGGAAGCAGCATGACTGGTTCAAAAACCATAACAAATATTTAAAACACGAAACATTTTGTTTGCCATAAAATGTGTACTTGAACTGAGATTAAACATTTGTTATTGTTTCAAATTAACAAGCTTTGATACATTTTGTCAATATATCAACTGCTTTTTCATTTCAAAGGTATTTCACCTATGGGATTGTTTTGGAGCATGCAAAGTACTCCAAATATGCCTCCTGGGCTTAGACTTATAAAAAACAATGCTGCCACACCACTTCTAACCGAACTTACAGTATTTCTTGGTCATCTTACATTCAAACAAACATACGGTGATAATATAATGCCAGTGTTGCAGAAGACAATAAAGAGATGGTACATGGGAAAAGATGTTCAGAAAATTACAGTGCAAACTGGTCGATTACGAGGCACATTGTTTCTCCCGCCTGGTAAGTACAGAATTTATTTACAAAAATGTTTCTTTTAACTTTAATGACAGAGACAAGACATACCTTTTTCCACGAATTATAAAGAAATTAGTGATTGTATAGAATTAAATCCTTAATCAAAATTATATTTTTTTTATTTATAATTTGTGAGATTTCTTAAAGTGACATGATGCTCAGTTGTTTTTTTTTAAAATACTAAATGTATTTTTTAAGTTTGACTTTTAGAAAAAAAATATTAATTCACCTGGAGCCATGCAGCTTAATAATAGGAATTTGGCTAGCTTAGTCAAATAGTGACCACATGGTGAATAATGTTTAGCCCTTTTCCTACTGGCTGCAACAAAGTCTACTCATATGACCAGTACAGACCAGGATCAGCCAGCAAATCTATGATGTCTGATTGTCGTCTGCATTGTTCACTTTTCAGTCTGTACATATTTTGAAATTTTTCCATAAAATAATGAATAGTTTTGTCAAGATTGAAAGATGGACAAGTTCATTTTAAGGTATTTATAAGTGTGGTAAATGTTTAAACTACAACATTATTGCCGTCTTTATTTCTTTTTATTACAGGTAAAGGACCTTTTCCAGGTGTAATTGACATGTTCGGTGTAGTGGGTACCTGCGTAGAATTTAGGGCGGCTCTTTTAGCTTCCAGAGGATTTGCAGCATATGCTTTACCATACTTTTTATATGATGATTTACCAAAGGATTTGAGTGAAATTGAATTTGAATATTTCATGGTACATTGTTTATCATAAAGTAACATTATGCTCATTTTTCGGTGTCAAGTTGAGCTGAGTTAGCTTTATATTTAAAAAGAGATTGACTATTATAAAGGGAATTCACCAATAACTGATAATGAAAAAAATTATATGGATAAAATATAAAACTGCCTGAAATATAATAAGACTGCCCCCTGTTATTTTTAGAAGCAAACAATGCTGATAACTTTTTGATGAAAATAATAAGAAACAGGAGACATGCTGCTTAAATTTCAAATGGCTGTAAATACATATAAATATGAGCCGCGTCACGACAAAACCAACAAAGTGTGCTTGCGACCAGCATGGATCCAGACCATACTGCGCATCCGCGCAGTCTGATCAGGATCCATGCTGTTCGCTATCAGTTTCTCTACTTGTTACAGGGTTTGTAAGCGAACAGCATGGATCAATGCTGGTCGCAAACCCATTTTGTTGGTTTTGTCGGGACGCAGCTCATATGTATTTTACCATAAATAGTTCATATTTTTTGTAATCTATGATGAAAGTTTAACCATTTATTCTATATTAAAGGAAGCAGTTGACTGGTTATCAGCCCATCCTCATGTTGATGGAGACAATATAGGTATAATTGGTGTATCCAAGGGCGGAGAATTAGCGCTGCATATGGGATATTACAGTGATAAGGTAGTTTGACATTTCATATTTCAGCATATTTGTACGAAAACTTACTCTAAATACTGTTTAAATCTTATGGAATGATATCTCTGTCCAGGACTCTCAATCTCCTTATTTAAGTGTTAATCTTCAGTACCATGCCCCTAACCAAATACTATTTAGGTGTGCATATATGTGATACAAATGTCAAGTTAGCATGATAGAAGTTTTATTGTGGCCCACTATAGGGGGGGGCGGGATGCATTTAGATTTACCCTTGTCCACCCATCTGTCCGTCTGTGCATCTGTCTCATGTTGTGTTGCATGTAGCTCAAAAGTATTTGACCTAGAGTCATGAAACTTTACAGGAATGTTAGTCAGCATGTGTAGTTGTGCACCTGGTTGTTTGCGTGTAGATTTATTCAGTATTTGTTATTGCCCTTGACTTAGTAAAAATTTGAAATTTTCAACTTGTTTCGCACGTAGCTAAAAGAGTATTTAACCTAGAGTCATTAAACTTTACAGGAGTGTTGCTTAGCATGTGAACTTGTGGGTTTGCTTGTGGATTTATACAGTATTTGTAGAGTTATTGCCCTTGACTTGGTAAAAACTGTGTATGTGTGTACCTTGAATGCTTGAGTTAGAATCAACCAACTTTACAAGAATGATGATCAACATCACTGTAAAACTGTGACTCTGGGCTTTTGCTTGTGGATTTTTTTTTCAGTTTTGTTAGAGTTATTGCCCTTGACTTAGTATAAATTTGCAATCTTCAACTTGTCATGCAAAGCTCAAAAAGTATTTGGTCTGTAGTCCTGAAAGTTTACAAGAATATTGGCCAGCATGTGTAGTTATGCACCTTGGGGTTTGCTTGTGGATATATTCAGTATTTGTAGAGTTTTTGCCCTTGACTAAGTAAAAGATTTTCAGTTTTCAACTTGTGTCGTGTGAAGCCCAAAAAATATTTGATCTGGAGTCAGTAGATGGACAGTGGAACAGTGGAGTGTGCGGGCGGCCGGGCACCCGTGTACAATGGTTCCTACAGACACATTTCTAGTTTTTTATTTCTTTTTTTTACATGACATGTACAGAACTTGTATCACCAGTAGATATCGGTTCCTGTCTTGAAGTGCCTTGAGCCACTTGCCCAGATATGATGATATTTTTGCAATAGTCATACTCTGCATTGAGCTGTGAATAGGGTTTGATTCCCGGACAGTTCAGGTCAGTTTTGTTGTGATTTTTCATGAAATCCTTTCTACGGTCATTCAGACTGTACCACTGCTCTGGCATGTATAGTAGTTATTGTTCTTTGCAAAAGTGAAGGCAATTATTACTGGTAAACTGCATGAGAGCCTGCCCTGGGGTGATGTGGAGGCTCAACTGAGCTCTGGTAAATTCAATATGACTTACTGCCGTAACGCTGAGGGAATACTACCAACTTTGCATTGTAGTCTTGTACACTTACTGTAGTAATACTAAAATGGTTACTGTTAATTTTGATGATAAGCAATTTGTATTGTGTTGGCTATCATCAGAAAAGGTTATTACCTTTTAGCTGCAACAAAGTGGCTGGAAAAATAATGGATGTCACCAATAATGTTGTTGTTATATTTTTCAGGTTAAATCTGTTGTTTCAATCAATGGTGCTCCATTTTTGTCTATTATGCCAATGAAATATAAAGGAAATTACATTGGACATTCGAGGTTTGTAAAACACATTATTTTCTTTTTGTGCCCCCACTTTAGGGGGGCAATTAGATTTACCCTTGTCCGTCCATCCGTCCGTCCTTCCGTCCGTCCGTCCGTTCTCTTGACCTAGAGTCATGAAACTTTACAGGAATGTTAATCAGCATGTGCAGTTGTGCACCTGGGTATTTTCGTCTGGGTTTATTCGGCATTTTTAGAGTTATTGCCCTTGACTTAGTAAAAATTTGCAATTTTCAACTTGTGTCGCATGTAACTCAAAAAGAATTTGACCTAGAGTCACGAAACTTTACAGGAATGTTGATCAGCATGTGTAGTTGTGCACCTAGGTATTTTCCTGTGGATTTAAATAGTATTTTTAGAGTTATTGCCCTTGACTTACTAAAATTTTGCAATTTTCAACTTATGTCGCATGCAACTCATAAAGTATTTGATCTAGAGTCATGAAACTTTACAGAAATATTGACCAGCATGTGAAGTTGTGCACCTGGGTATTTTCGTCTGGATATTTTTAGTATTTTTAGTGTTATTGCCCTTGACTTACTAAAATTTTGCAATTTTCAACTTGTGTCGCATGTAACTCAAAAAGAATTTGGCATAGAGTCATGAAACCTTACGGGAATGTTGCTCAGCATATGTAGTTGTGCACCTCGGGTTTCGCTTGTGAATTTATCCAGTATTTGTAGGTTTATTGCCCTTGACTTAGTAAAAATCGTTTCATTATGTTGTTATTTGTTCCTTGAGTGCTTGAGTTAGAAACAACCAACTGTACAGGAATAATGATCAACATCACTATGAAGCTATGCACCTGGGACTTTGCATGTGGATTTTTTTCAGTTTTGTTAGAGTTATTGCGCTTGACTTACAGTAGTATAAATTTTCAATTTTTAACTTGTTCATGCATAGCTCAAAAAGTATTTGACTTGAAATTGAAAGGCCTGAAAGTTTACAAGAATGCTGGTCAGCATGTGTACTTATGCTCCTTGGGGTTTGCTTGTGGATTTATTCAGTATTTGTAAAAGTTCTTGCCCTTTACTTGGTAAAAGATTGACAGAACAGTGGCGTGTGAGGGCACCCGTGTCCTATGGACACATTTCTAGTTTTATCTTTAATTTTATACTCTGAAAAAGATATATATATATATATATATATATTGTCAAAGCAATATAAATCGGTTTTGAGCAAAATATTATAACTGATTACAATGATCTTGATTAATGATCTATATCTTCACTATCATTGTATAAACATTGTTATTTATATAACTAATAATATTTTACATGAAGAACAGATTAAGAGAAATAGGGAACAATGTTATTATTTTTAATATTACTAGGACTTATTTGATGAGTTAATATGTTAGTTGATGGTATGATATGTTTGTTGTCCTTTGGTCATAGTTGTCCACAATTTCTCAAACAACATCTCCCCAAAAAAACTACTTATTGGATTTCCACGAAACTTCAACAAAAAATTTCACTAATTGTTCCTGTCTTGTACACAAGTAGGTCATACAAGCTTAAAAAGACTTAAAAATAAAAACTTTTATAAACTTCTCATCAGAAAGTACAATGCCTAGAGCATCATCTATTAGATTTCTACAAATATCTATATGAAATATAAGGCAAAAAATTGTCACTTAGTTTACATAGTAAAACACATTTTAGTCTTTCTATTTTTAAGTCATAGAAATGTTGCATGTAGCAATGCCAAGATGTCCTTTATAAAAGGTGTATAATTGACATTCCAGCTAAGATATCATACATGTTTGAAGTTTTATGTGTAGACTACCTATTCACTCTGGACAACCTAGAACTTCACCTTTTGTTCTGCTTTTAATTTGATTAAGAACTGTAACATGTAATTGTGAAGTTACCGCCCTTTGTAAATTTTACCTGATTGTTTATCTTTGTGGTGTCAGTTATTAACTATACACATTATTCTACAACTATAACTTGTGTACCTTCATATCAATATTGAGCTGTGCACATTATTTTCAGACTTCTTTGACTTTGTCATTTATCTTGTCCAAACAATTTACTTATATTTAGATATAAATCATTAAAGTATACCTTCCTGACAAAGTGGCATGTGGGGATATAATATTGTCTATTACTGTGGCAATTATAGTTTATATTACGTTTAATTTGTTGAAACTTTCAATTTATATTTTTACAAGATTTGATGCTGATGATTACACAGTAACTGATGAAGGGATCTCAGCTTTGAACACTATGGACTGTGAAATAGAAAATTACTTACCGGTAAGTTTATTTACTCGGAACTTGTCATACCAAGAACTTGTCATAAAATTTTTTAAATAAATAAACTGGTCTCGAATTGAGTGCTCATGAGATTCTTGTCACACAATTCATCATCTAAGAAAATACGGACAAGGTAAACAAAGGCCGATGATAGTGAAATTTGTAAAACAACAACCAACCAAGATCCAGGTTTTCAAACATGCAAAACAACTGTGCCAATCATCAATTTATTATATCAGTGACCTCACTTAGATCAAACAAGAGGTGCTGTCAGCTTTGTGATTAAAAGTTTATTTACAACAAAACTACAGTGCAGAATAAGATATCTTTTTATGCACCTGAAATGAGGCATACCGATAGAGGATATTGAATGAGTTTGGCTTCAATACTGAATTTATTGAATGAGTTGAATCAAATTTTATTGTGAGAGATTCTGGTTAGCATTGCATTGTTTTATTCAAAGAGTTCAATAAATTCAGTAATGAAGCTACATGAATATAATATTCTATTTATCGCATACCCAAAATAAAGTCTGTTACAAGTGAACAGAATAATTTTTCATTGATGGGCATACAATGTAACGGCCTAACACTTTACACTGTATTTGTATATTAACACACATCATGTCAAGTCAAAATATATGCAGGGGTATGTGATCAATATAGTTACTGAACCTTCAATTTATTTACCTTATATCTGAAAGTTGAACTTTTCGAAAGTTCAGTAGACTAGTGGTGAAAAGTGATTCTTCCTTTGCAGCCAGTGCAGATCCAGATTAGCTGGCACATTTGTGTCGCTCGATTATGGTCTACACTGGTCTACACTTTACGCTCATCATTCAGTGTAAATTTTAAAATTTTCCCTGGAAATAATGAATGGTTTTTTGTCAGATTGATTGAAAGATGGACAAATCCATGTAAGATATTAAACACAGAAACGGTTTTTTCTTGTTCACTTTAAATCACATAAACATTTATTATTGCTCTCTTTGTACTTTGCAGTAAAGTAATTTTGAACGTTAGCATCCAATGATAAATTTTTTTTATATAAACATGTTTAAGAACTAAATAGTATTTAGGAAATGTTAAAGATATAAGGAAACTTATGAAATAGGCAGATGAAGAAATAAAGACAAACAGCAATGCATTGTGCTATGAAACTTCAGTGATCAGTTAAAGAATAATGCCTAGAACATGACTACATGTGTTTCTTACTTATATAGGACAAAAGCCCTCCCATCCACAAATGACAAGGCAAAAAAAGCCCTCCCGTGAAAATGACTTGGCAGACAAAGCCCTCCTGTGAAAATAACAGGGCGGACAAAAGCCCTCCCATAAAAAAATACATGTATGGCATTTTCACTGGAGGGCTTTTTATCCTTTTGTCCCCCCTGTCATTTTCAGGAGATGGCTTTTGTCCGCAATATCATTTATGGATGGGAAGGCTTTTGCCTGGGAGGGCTTTTTTATGTTTCTTGCTTCTTACAAATCTCAAAAGATGTTACAATTTAATAAGTTATTCTGTTTTCTATTTGTACTTGCATAGTTAATTTTATTTTAACAACCCAATATTGTAATGTTATTTATATATTTCAGTTAATCTGTACTTATATTTGCTAAAATTTAAGTTTAAGTTAAATCTAAGTTAAGTTTACATCATTTTGAGTTTTAGATTTGGGAGAAAGATGTACATGTGCTCCTTATAGGGGGTCAGGACGATTTAGCATTAAAGACAAAATTTTTACCTAATACATATGACTGCTATCCAGCAGACAGGAAACATTTGTGTGAGTTACGAATGTACCCCGGTGCCGGTCACCTGATAGAGCCGCCGTACGCTCCACTATCTAGGACAACTATGAAACATAGCAGAGGAGTTGGTGGAGATTATGGTTTGTATTATATCCCATTTTATTTTAAAGGCCCATTATGCCTCAGAATTGTTATCATTTTTATTTCTTAAAAACTGTTTATTTTTGGTATCTTGTTACAGTTTCCAAAAAATACACATTTGCTATATACATGAACTGTCTTTTGCTCCTGATTCCAAGTATTGTCATAAAGCAATGACAAAACTTGACTTTTGATAATACAAGCATTAACTTGCAGTATATTATCCTTCTTATTTTGTTTAACATACATTATTGATGTTGTACAGTTCCTTTGTTCATGTCTTGTGGTGTGATTTGAGCCACGCCATACACAAAACCAACATAATGGGTTTGCCACCAGCATGGATCCAGACCAGCCTGGGCATCCGGGCAGTCTGATTAGGATCCATGCTGTTCGCTTACAAACCATATAACAAGTAGAGAAACTGATAACGAACAGTATGGATCCTGATCAGACTGCGCAGATGCGCAGGCTGGTCTGGATCCATGCTGGTCGCAAACGCATTATGTTGGTTTTGTCGTGACGCGGCTCAAATAGACTTTTTTGAACTTTCATTTGGGGGATATCAAGATAAAAAAATTCCCTCCCTGTAGACCCAAAGCATAAAAAAAATAAAATTAAAAGAAAGAATAAATAAAATAAAAATATTTTTTATATAAAATAAAAAAAATAAGATAAGATAAAAAAAAGATAAGTTTGAAGTTTGTCAACCAGCAGTACAGAGCATAGTCCGATTGCACAAGTATTACAATAATTTCTCGTTCATTTAGACTGAACTGCTTGAATTGGAATGGAAAAAAAAACAACAAAACATTGTTGGATATTTTTATTTTCAGGCAAACACATTTTACTTTGGGGAGGGGAAACAGTTGCTCATGCACATGCCCAAGAAGATTCATGGAAACGAATCCTTAATTTCTTTAGCACTACACTGTCCAAAAAAGACCATGGTACAGCCAACAGCAAATTGTGATGAAACGCTAATGTCTAAGGGAAAGAACTGTGATAGCATGTTTTATATAAGGTTGATATTTATTATCCCCCTTAGGTTGATTTATATTTGCTGCTGATTACGGACATTTACCAAATATTTTACAAAAGAAATGATATTGTGAGAAATTTGAGAAGTTATTCTGAAGTAAAAATGCTGAAAATGATGATATTGTTTTCATTTGAAAAGAAAATGAGTAGATTTTAAAATTGAATGGTTTTGTTATGAATTAATAGGACCAGAATTGTTTGGTATCATTTATGTACAATTATTGTTGCTACCTGGACAAATTATTGACATTGCTTATGCCTATTTCAAAGAATGAGTTTAAGTACATAATTTTACTTATCTCCCCACCTCTTATTCCACATTTCCGGCATATCGTATCTTCTACCATTGCCACAATATTAGTGTTGCATATTTCTTGATTTAATTGATTATATATAGGAATTCTCTTTCTTATATTTTCTCTACTTGAAGTAATTTTGTTTAAGATTTGTAATTGCATTTATTTTCTTTCATTTGTATTGATACCCTATTACAATGTAGTACTTTCAGTGACTTAGATAACAAATATATTTATATTTGGCTCTTTGGAATTTTGAAATTTGTAATTGGGTAACCGGTTGTATTGAAATTTGATTAATTGTTTTCACATTTAATAGCATCTTTCTGCTGCTGTCTTTTTACTAAAAGGAGTTAAGCTTAAGAAAATATGTGTGTGTAAAAAGCAGTCATATTCATAGGCCCTGGGCCAGTGTGAAATTTGCGTTGAAGATGTGCTAAATTGACCTCTTTACACACCAATCTTCCTAATATACTATATTCCAATTAAAAATTCCAATTTCAAAAACAGTCCATAATATGCTATATAGTTATAGACAAGGTCAGTAACGAGCGCGTAACGCTATGGGACGTCTCTCGGCAAACTTGTGGAACATTAGAAAACTGCATTTTACAAATATTAGCGCTTGTACAAACGTTTCTACGCTCCAGACATTTAAAGTATTGAATATGCAATTGATTTACCCTACAAATCAAGTTGAATTTCCACTTATGGTTGCACAACGCCGATTTGTTTCGTTTTTTCTACTTTTCGTTCGCTTTCACCGACATATTGCCGAAAAAGGGGGAAAACTCCGTACAACCGTCACTATCCGGGCTCGGTAGGTATTAAACTACTATATTGTCATCGCTAATCGCGGGTTCGTCTGCATTAAACGCGCCAAATTATGATTTAGAGTGAAACATTAATAAACCAAAAATGTCAGCGATTGAGTGGTAAGTAAATTATTTTCTTACAGCTTGTTATGTCAATATAACTTTATTTACTTATTGTTGGTACGGTTTTTTCAAACTCGGACTATTTTGAACCTGATGACAGTTTTCCGTCACTTACCGTACAAGGGGCAAAGACGAAGGATTAGGGGTTATAATTACTATAAATATTCTTTATTAAAATTTGCAATATGTGATATATGATAACTCGACTACGACATTTCCTAATCCCTTCGAAAACATGTTACGCAACTCCATAGACAGGCAATCAAATGCATTATAGAAGACGCGGACTTCGAACGGTTCGCGCACTTATATAGGAGAGTGTAAGGAGTAGATAGATATGTTTATATAACGCATGTATTAAAAAACTGAAAAACAATTACATGTAAGTAATAATTATTATATATCCCCTCAGTTCTAAGTGCTATTTCCTTTTTTATTTATTATTTCCAGTTTTATTTTGGGAGCTGGTCATTTTGTAACCTGTCCATTTACTGATCTCACCACACTGGTCGATTCATAACCATTCATTTAATTCGTAACTATTGCTTGATCATTTCGTCAACTACTAAAATCTGTAATAGTTTATTACAATAGAGTTATCAAAGATTGTACATAATGAATATATCTGTATCTGAAATAGATATGGATTCAGGCAGATCATTTACCAAATAATGGACTTTCTTTATAGTTTTCTAACGCGGATCCTATGGATATACTTTTTTATACTTACTATATTGTACGGCAATCATAGTAATTTCAATTCATTATTGTATTCGTGTCCTAAAATCTCCTACTGGTTTGAAATATTTTAATAAATTTACCCTATTCTCTTTCGACATTTTCCCCTAAGGAATTCAGTATGATACAGGAGTAAATATACATTTCTATCTCCTTTTTTGGCCGAATTGTGTTTTATTGAAATATCTATTTAAAAATCCAGATTACTTCGTAAAAATCTTTTTATTATTTTAGACTTATACTTGCCATACATTATGATAGTTCTTGTGAGATTTTCTCAATACAGAACTTGAAATTATAGGCATATATGCGCGTTTGTTTTTGTACGTGATATATTTCTCTTGTGAACACTGACAGGTTTTGAAAATAACAACTTTGGAGTGGCTCAAATGTATATTAAATCTTTAACGTTAAATAGAACAATGCCCTTGACATATCTGAATGACTCTTGATTTTCACTCAAAACTGTTAAAACAGCATTAAATATCTGGCAAAAAAATCATACAAAATGACATATGAGAGATGCAATCGTTTTACTATAATGTAAATATTGTAGCACTGTAACACAAAAAACATAAAAAATCCTTTCACAGTGCGTTTTTTCTGTTTGCAAAAGGCGGCTTATTTTTCAAGGGATGTAATTTCGGAAATTTTTCCTACATAGGTGTATATGATAACTAATTATCAGCAAAGTCCATGTAAAAAATTGTACATGAAATAATAAATAGTCACAGTTTAGTGCGACGACAATTTACTTACATTAATTCATTCATTTTTATTTATTAAGTTTTTTTTTGACATGTAGCATAAATTATTTGCTAACGTTACTTAATTTGATACATAAAATATAGTAGTTTAATACCTACCGAGCCCGGATAGTGACGGTTGTACGGAGTTTTCCCCCTTTTTCGGCAATATGTCGGTGAAAGCGAACGAAAAGTAGAAAAAACGAAACAAATCGGCATTGTGCAACCATAAGTGGAAATTCAACTTGATTTGTAGGGTAAATCAATTGCATATTCAATACTTTAAATGTCTGGAGCGTAGAAACGTTTGTACAAGCGCTAATATTTGTAAAATGCAGTTTTCTAATGTTCCACAAGTTTGCCGAGAGACGTCCCATAGCGTTACGCGCTCGTTACTGACCTTGTCTATAACTATATAGCATATTATGGACTGTTTTTGAAATTGGAATTTTTAATTGGAATATAGTATATTAGGAAGATTGGTGTGTAAAGAGGTCAATTTAGCACATCTTCAACGCAAATTTCACACTGGCCCAGGGCCTATGGTCATATTATGAATCATGAATCCATAACAGTTTCTTCGTTTGGGTGAGCTTTCTTGTTTTAGGGTACTATCCTGATCATGTATATACTGCATGTACATCAAATGTCTTCTGCAACCAACGAAAGCTCTAAAACGTCCTTATGACCTTAACAAGTTAACAGTGTCACTGTGTCCACAGGTATTTGTTGGCATATTCCAATATGCGCTACCTCAATCAGTAAAAGCTACATTAAAAGTGACTTTGTATGAAAGTCAAAATCCTACTTTATTTACATTTTCCAGTGTTAGATACTACTACAAAATAAAAATATCCTCACATTCAACATACTTTCTACCTATGTTATAAGCATCCAACTTGCTCTTAAACCATTATTTGAGCCGCGTCACGACAAAACCAACATAGTGCGTTTGCGACCAGCATGGAAGAAATGATATTGTGAGAAATTTGAGAAGTTATTCTGAAGTAAAAATGCTGAAAATGATGATATTGTTTTCATTTGAAAAGAAAATGAGTTGATTTTAAATTGAATGGTTTTGTTATGAATTAATAGGACCAGAATTGTTTGGTATCATTTATGTACAATTATTGTTGCTACCTGGACAAATTATTGACATTGCTTATGCCTATTTCAAAGAATGAGTTTAAGTTCTTAATTTTACTGATTCTCCCCATCTCTTATTCCCCAATTCCGGTGCATATCTTTTCTCCTACCATTGCTACAATATTAGTGTTGCATATTTCTTGATTTAATTGATTATATATAGGAATTCTCTTTCTTATATTTTCTCTACTTGAAGTAATTTTGTTTAAGATTTGTAATTGAATTTATTTCCTTTCATTTGTATGGTTACACTATTAGTACTTTCAGTGACTTGGATAACAAATGAATTTAAATTTGGCTCTTTGGAATTTTGAAATTTGTAATTAGGTAACCGGTTGTATTGAAATTTGATTATTTGTTTTCATATTTAATAGCATCTTTCTGCTGCTGTTTTTTTACTTAAAGGAGTTAAGATTAAGAAAATATGTGTGTATAAAAAGCAGTCATATACAATCTATAACACTTTCTTCGTATTGGTGAGCTTTCTTGTTTTAGGGTACTATCATCATCATGTATATACGCATGTACATCAAATGTCTTCGGCAACCAATGAAAAGCTCTAAGACGTCCTTATGACCTTAACAAGTTAACAGTGTCACTGTGTCCACAGGTATTTGTTGGCATATTCCAATATGCGCTACCTCAATCAGTAAAAGCTACATTAAAAGTGACTTTGTATGAAAGTCAAAATGCTACTTTGTTTACATTTTCCAGTGTTAGATTCTACTACAAAATAAAATATCCTCACATTCAACATACTTTCTACCTATGTTATAAGCATCCAACTTGCTCTTAAACCATTATTTGAGCCGTGTCACGACAACATAGTGCGTTTGCGAATAGCATGGATCCAGACCAGCCTGCGCATCCGCGCAGTCTGATCAGGATCCATGCTGTTCGCTTACAAACCCTATTACAAGTAGAGAAACTGATAGCGAACAGCATGGATCCTGATTAGACTGCGCGGATGCGCAGGCTGGTCTGGATCCATGCTGGTCGTAAACCCATTATGTTGGTTTTGTCATGACACGGCTCATTTAAACTTAATAGAACTCCTGTTTGCACTTTCTAAAGATGAAAATAATTGTTCGTTTCTAAGGTGTAATGTGCATTTTATAGTACCTTGCGCAACGGTGCAATTTTTAATCTGCAATGGTGCAATTTTTAATCTGCGACGTCAAAATGTTCATATACATGTATTATATTAAAACATGTACACACCTTAAATAATTATTTGAAAGAATGCATTTCA